ATTTTAAATTATTAGGGACTCTATAAATGGTAATAATTAATTATATTTTGTACATTTGAAATTTTAAATTATGGAAAATTTTACGGCGGTGTGTGCGTGGGTGTGGAATGGTGTGTGCGTTTTATAGTTTGCCGTGGTGTACACCTCCTGTTACAGAAAACCGCACACGCCATTCCACACCTGCGCACACACCATCGTAAAATTCCCCACAATAAAAAAAAAAAAACACACACACACAACAAGCCCAATACTATATCTACTACGCACTGATTATCTACTCGAAATTCAAACGTCGATACCCAAATTAGATTCGTATATTTTTGTTTTCTTTTGGATACGTTTCGCACACGCCCGAAACTAGTAGCACACAAACCAAAATGTACATGTCTGTATCACGAAACGCACATACTAAAATGCATAATTTTATGAAAAAAACCAGCACGCCATGGTGTACGAGCCCTGTTACAGTAAAATGCACACACCATTCCACACCCATGCACACACCGTCGTAAAATTCCAAAGAAAATCACTAAGAGAGAGAGAAATATTGATTAAGGAGAGCTGAAATAACACTACAAATCTTTATAAACATGAAAATAAATGAAATGGAAAGTAATAAATATAGTGCTTAAGGACAAAAAGATCCATGCTTCATCTAAAATCAGTATAACATGGAATCCAAGTGGTAATCAATCCGAATCGTCAAAAAATTAAAATCAACGATCAGGGAGTGTGCTCACGGGCTCGGCTGACTAGGGGGTGTGCACCGGATTCAAAATCTATATATATATATATATATATATATATATATATATATATATATATATATATATATATATATATATATATATATATATATATAGGCGAGTTCAGGTGCGACGGTGCGGCAACACCAATAGTTCAATAAATATACACCATCAACATTAGAAAAATACACCACAAAAAACAGAGTAAACAGAGCCCCGCATCACCAAACATACACCATTAGGTGTGAGTAAAAACACCATACAGTGTTCGAAAATACACCATTGGGGGTGGTGAGTTATATGGTGTATTTTTTTTGGGTTTCTTGTGTATTTTGTGATGTTTTATTGCATTTCATTGTGGTGTGTTTTCTTACACTGTTGGTGTATTCTGGAATTTCGCCGCACCGCCGCACGGGAAGACCTCGCCGCATTTGAACTTTATTATATATATATATATATATATATATATATATATATATATATATATATATATATATATATATATATATATATATATATGATTGCGTTTAGGTACGAGCGGCCGTCCATGAACAAACAGCGAACCAACCAGTGCGCGCCACCTGTCCTTCGGTGCATGTAAATATGTTATATGTGCAAGTAGTTGGTGCACCTATGCAAGTAAAAAGTGCAGGTAAAATCACTTACAAGTGCACCTACATTCCCCTACAAGTGCATGTAATTTTGCCTTGTGTTCATTCATCGGGTTCACCTACTTTCACCTATAAGTACATGTAGTTGGTGCACCTATGTAAGTAATAGTGCTGGGTAAAATCACTTACAAGTGCACCTATTTTCACCTCACACACACACACACACACACACACCAATAGTGGCGGTGCGGCAACACCAATAGTTCAATAAATATACACCATCAACATTAGAAAAATACACCACAAAAAACAGAGTAAACAGAGCCCCGCATCACCAAACATACACCATTAGGTGTGAGTAAAAACACCATACAGTGTTCGAAAATATACCATTGGGGGTGGTGAGTTATAGGTGTATTTTTTTTTGGGTTTGTTGTGTATTTTGTGATGTTTTATTGCATTTCATTGTGGTGTGTTTTCTTACACTGTTGGTGCATATTGTTAACACTGTTGGTGTATTCTGGAATTTCGCCGCACCGCCGCACAGGAAGACCTCGCCGCATTTGAACTTTATTATATATATATATATATATATATATATATATATATATATATATATATATATATATATATATATATATATATATATATATATATATATATATATATATACATATATATATATATATATATATATATATGATTGCGTTTAAGTACGAGCGGCCGTCCATGAATAAACTGCGAACCAACCAGTGCGCGCCACCTGTCCTTCGGTGCATGTAAATATGTTATATGTGCAAGTAGTTGGTGCACCTATGCAAGTAAAAAGTGCAGGTAAAATCACTTACAAGTGCACCTACATTCCCCTACAAGTGCATGTAATTTTGCCTTGTGTTCATTCATCGGGTGCACCTACTTTCACCTATAAGTACATGTAGTTGGTGCACCTATGCAAGTAATAGTGCTGGGTAAAATCACTTGCAAGTGCACCTATTTTCACCTACAAGTGCATGTAATTTTGTCATGTTAACATTCATTCATCGGGTGCGCGTACTTATAACTATAGGTGCACCTAGTTATAACTATAGGTGCACCTAGATCTGACCGGACACGTGGCGCGCGCTGGATAGTTCGCAATTCGCTCTTGGGCGTGCCGTTCGCACCAAAACGCGACTATATATATATATATATATATATATATATATATATATATATATATATATATATATATGAATATGAGATCTGATGCGAAAAATCTCTCATGTGCAAACATGCGGTGAGAGCTGAGCCGTTTACAAAGACGCACATTAAGTAGTAAAATCACGTACCTTAAGGGAGTGTTTGGTTCAAGTTATATAAGATAACTAAGGTTATATTTGTTTGGGAATATAAGATTCTCATGTTTGGTTCAAGTTATGTAATTTTCCGAGAAGAATGTCACATAACATCAAGATATAGTTTTTAGCTATCGGAAGGGAATATGAGATACCATCCAATTTCTTAGGTAATCTCACATTCCCTCATCTTATTTCTAATTTTGGACTTTCGACAGTTTAATCAATTTACCTTATTACCCTTGCATTATTTACCTACCTTAGTTTTAAACAAAACACAGGAATCTAACATTCCCAATAATCAAACATTCCCAGCAATCTAACATTTCCTAAGGCATTCCCAGCCATCTAACATTTTCTAAGGTAATCTAACATTCTCAGGTCATCTTAGATTACCTAGGTAATCTGAGTCTGGTAATGTTATATTATCTTGTTTGGTTCAAGTTATGAGATTACCTGGTAATGTTATATTACCTGAAAGCTGATGTAACGGTAATGTTTCAAGGTAATGTGATTACTCACATTTTCTTAGGTAATCTTAGATTACATTGAATTATTCTAACTTTTCCCTTGTTAACTAATCCTTATATAATAATAATAATAATAATAATAATAATAATAATAATAATAATAATAATAATAATAATAATAATAATAATAATAATAATAATAATAATAATAAAAATAATAATAATAATAATAATAATAATAATAATAATAATAATAATAATAATAATAATGATAATAATAATCATAATAATGAAATAAATAAATATATTGATATAATCAAATATACATGTGTGTATATTTATATATTTAGTTTTTTTTTTTTATATTTTAATTCATTCATATATATAAATAAATAAATATATATAAGGCGGATAACCGGCCCAGCCGAGTGAGCCGAGCGCCTAGTCCGGGGACCGGGCTGAAGCTCGGGCTCGGTCGGCATGGTCGGTTGGTTTGGGGGAGCGAAAGCTGGAGCCGTGTATGCAGGCATGTAAGGCAGATAACCGGCCGGTGGATAATACATAGGTGTACCGGGCCAACAACCATATTGAGGAGGTGGTACTGGATATGGGTAGTTCGCCGGGAATGGATATTATTAACCGGGTGTTGGATACATCGGTTGAATATAATTGACCGGGTTGGGAGCTGCCGATCGAGGAGGTGAAAGATTCAAATTCAGGTCAATTGTTTGACCCTGATGCTGTGTATAGTTGTGGTCGGAGGAGCTAGCTTCCTCGTCCTCCGGTGCTTGGTACATGAATGGATACATGGTGATGATCGGGATCTGATATGCGTCTACAATAGCTTTTCGTACCGGTTCCCCACAGAAGGCGCCAAAATGATAGTACTAATATCCATGTAATGCGGACAAAGTATTGAATGAGAACAAGTATAATAATAGAAGGGGATTTTATTGATAAAAAAGGAGACCTAATACAATCTAAATGGCTATCCCGAGGGCTGACTGACTGCGGTCGGGCTGCTTTGTAAATAGCCTGTTGATCGTCCAAAAGTCCCCCTCACTATAGCCGCCGTGGGTACTTATAGCCTTTGGCCGGAGACAAACTTCCGGCTTACCGGCATGTAACACACGTAGCATCCACGCGTCTTCACCTGGCGAGCCTTCTCTGTCGACGTATAACATTGCCACGTGCCTCTCTTCAATATCTCTGACTCTTCATAAAGTAGGTGCATGATAACCGGGAAATAACATCGGTCGGGAAGTTCACCGGTTGGGCCCGACCTCCTTGCGTGAACGACGCCCGACCTAAAGATCCTACCCAAACTACCAGAAGAACCAAACTCATGTCGGTCGGGATATATCCTACCAAAAGCCCCCCCAGCCCGCGGCGTTTTGAACCGACCAGGAAAAAACGGGACGGGATGAGTAGTCCTTGTCATTCGGGCTTCAATCCCGACCGGCCAGCTGTCATTCCCCATGCCACGTGTCAGTCTGCGGTCGCCTTGGGGTATGCAACGGTCAAATCGCGCAAGTGGGCAATTTCCCGCCAAAATTTTTCCTATAAATACGCCCCTCTGATGCTCATTTGAACTTTTACCACACTGTGAGAATTGACCGATGCTTCCCGAGCAATTAGTACAGCAGATCAATCGAGCAGCAAACTTTTCCTCCCGACTAGCTTCACTAATCGGTAAGTTACTTCTTTCTCATCTTTTTATTTCCTCTTTTAAGTCTTTCTCTTATTCCTCACATAACGATCGAACCTGGTAACTCACTAACCCCGATCAAAAGTAACCGACCCTTCCGTTGAAACGACCATCTCCTTTGTGAAGGACATATGTCAGACTCAGATAGCCAGAATGTTTTGGGAGTGGATTACGATGACGCGGTCGAGGAAGTTAGCGAAGAAACAACAATCGAGGAATCGTCGCCCGAGGTTGTCGAGGTCGTTCAACGACCAAGCAAAACTTCCGATCGGAAAAGCTCTTCTACCTCAGAGAGCTCGTCGAGCTCGAGTGGGTCGAGCGATAGCGATAGCAGCGGCATCACCTCAACGAGCGGTCGTGAATCTTCGACCGAGCGCGCTCGAGAGACGTCTACGAGAACTATCGGGGTGGATCATGGAGCTTCTGCTCCTTCACGCGATCGAGAAGCTACTCCTGACCCGGGCGACGAAGAACCGACCACATCAACAGCTGCTGAGCCGGAATTCGTCTTCCTCAACAGCGAGAGCGTCGATCAGCAGGAGTGCCTACTGACGACCCATGAAGCAGTGAAAATCTCCGCAAGACTAAGCGGCCGGGTAAAATTCGATACCCGTAGGAGTCTAGGGGGGGATTAAGGAGCGTCATCAGGGGAAATGGATCGAGATGCACTTCGATTCATTGCAAGCCCCGATCACGTTCCCCTTCTCGGCCCTACTGACCGCCTTCTTAGGTTATTACCGGGTCTTGCCCGCCCAAGTATGCCCGAACGCTCATTGCATCCTAGCATGTTTTCCGCAAGTCTGCGCCCGGCATAGCGTTACGTGCTCGATGGAGCTTTTTAATTTTATCTACACGGTCAAGCCCTTAGCGGCCAAGTACGGAGGTGGGTTCCTGGTGATTCAGTCACGGGACCACCTTTGCTCGATTGACGACCTCACGGGCAACAACAGTGGATGGAAGAATAGGATATTCTCGGTCAAGTACGACCCATGGATTCTCCCGGTCGACCGGACTTGGGGCACGCACTACAGAAAGCAAGTGTAACCAACAGCCACCCGGGCCCTTCGCGAAGCAACCTTTCGCATATCGTGCGAGTTTTACGAGTACAAGATTTTCCGGACGCGGGAGGCTTATGACAACGCCCGGTTGCCGCCACCTCGATACGACCAAGAGCGAAAATATAAACCTCGACCGACGGGCGTATCGATCGCTGTAGCGGCGCCACAAGTCGAGCCAACCGACGAAGGTCTAACATTAACTACTCTTTCCCGACCATATCTTGCCGATTGATTGTTGTTTTTAACCTTATTCTTTTTTATTGCAGAAATGGGTCCCAAGCGTGGTTTTTCGAGTGCCAGTGCACCCCGAGCCCCCCGAGCCAAGATGACGCTCGGTAAGAAGGCAAATGTAGCTGAGACATCGGCCGGGCAGGAGGTCTGTGATGCTGCCATCCCGGCCGCCCAAGCACTTGGTGGCTCTACCACTGTGACAACCGACGCCGCGACCGACTCGCTGGCCCCCCGAGTCCCCGGTCGGAAGGGCAAAGAAAAGGCGTCCGGGAAAGACGCAGAGCAGACGGGCGCTCTTAAGCGTCGTCGCAAACAAAGCCCCCCGAGTGGGGTCGGCGCGGGCGTGAACCTATCCCTCCTCACCCGGTTGAATAACCTGTAGCAGGTCAGGGAAGACATGAGCAAATGGACGCCGGCACAGATATCCGAGAAGGGTGCTCAGGATCTGGTCGAGGTAACCGACTGTTTTCTTAGCTTACTAGTTTTATTTTCAACTCTGACCGCTCGAGCGAACTGATTGTTTTTCGTAGGTATCCCGGGCGATCCAAAGCCTTCAATACCGGGCCTTTAAGCAAATCGCCGAGCGGCGAGGGAAGGAGAACGCCCAGCTTCAACAAGACCTGAAGACGGCCAATGACTCCCTAGCTATAGCCGAGAAAACCGCTCGGGTTGCACTGAAGGAATCGGCCGTGCTGAAAGCCCGATTGGGCAACCTGGAAGGGTTGGCCAAATTCTTATGCCGCGACGAACCGACGACCGACAAATTCTTTCGAGCTTTGATGAAAAACAAGCTCGGTGAAGAGAAGATGTGGACGTTCGGTCACTAGGCGTACGCATCCGGCCAGCAAGCGATGCGGGTGGAGACCCGGTCAATAATGGAGGAGGTCTTCGAAGGCGAGGACTTGAAGGCAGTGCTGACCGCCCTCCCGGATGAAATTCCCGATCCCGGGCCGACGCCTTCACCGAGCCGTCCACCTCCGGAGCTGCCGCCGAGCGAAGCCCTAGCGAGAAGGATGAAGGGAAAGTCGTGTAGTCCCCGACCGATCTTGTAATTTTTTTTGTAAATTTGTCCAAGTGGACTCAATCGGGAGCCCGGTCCCGTTTGTATCAGGCAACTCTCTTAATTTTTAATGAACAGATCATTTTACTTGTCTTCTATGTTTTCGCACTTTACATTTTTACGCATATACAAACTTTAATCGCTTGTGCCCGATCTTTTCGTTCGAGCATATATTCGACCAATGTTGGCCGGCTATCGTTAACCCCAGCCCCCACACTGCCGTGCACATGAGGCATGAGTGAGGACGACAGTGGATGAGAAGGTAAGCTGATCGGGCATATGTCTGGTGCTCTGCTTTCCCAATCGATGGCGTGACCCGACCGTCCGCCAAAGATGAGCGATTTTCCCGGACGTTACAACCCGCTCGGATGAAATGTAGAGGATTTTATAATCCGTTAGGTTTTTACCCCTATCGGTCGGTGCCGAGTGAGGGGTGGTTACCTGTATTGGCTATAACCGAAATTTTATTGATCCCGGTATAATCGGGCAAGTTTTAGCGATATTCTGGTCGTTGGGCTTTCGCCCGACTCGATCGTTGATGCCGAATCTTGATCAGATGAATCACAATCGAAAAACTCCCGAAATGGATTTATTTGCTATGTACATATATTGACAGTCAATCGAGCCGTCGTGCACAGACGAGCGAGCAATCATCGATCGACATTACAAGATTTATTCCCGCTCGCATACGGACATATTCATACATATTATACATACACAACAAAAGATGAGCGTGCCCACTCGCAGGTGGAACCCCCACCCCATCCGAAGTTACATAATAACATTAATGTCGAAATAGGACTAAATTCTCATAATTCCGAGTGCCATCGATCACTCTCCCCGTCGTTGTTTCCAGTCGGTAAGTGCCCGGACGAACGACCGATGTGATTACATATGGTCCTTCCCAATTTTGAGCTAGTTTGCCTCCTTCCAAGGGTTGACTGGCATCTCGTCATCGTAGCAAATAGTCTCCAACCTGGAAGTATCGCGGATGAACCCGCACGTCTTTAGTACTCTTCACTCTTTTTTGATATTCAGTCATGCGCCTGGCAGCAATTTCTCTCTTTTCCTCCACGCTATCTAGATCTACGGCCATAAAGTGTTCATTCTCTTCTGCATTGAACGACCGTTCTCTAGCCGTCGGGATCCATGCCTCAATCGGTAAGCGCGCCTCAGCGCCATAGACTAGAGCGAATGGTGTTTCCATCATTGCCTCTCTGGGGGTCGTGCGATATATCCAAAGCACATATGGGAGCTCCTCGGCCCAACTATGACCAGCAGAGTGCAGCTTCTTCTTCAATCCTTCCAAGATGGTTCGATTGGCATTTTCCACTTGGCCATTTCCCTGCGGGTAAGCCACTAATGATCGGATCAAAGTTGTCCCGATCGTTGCCAAGAAGTTCTGAAAGTATTGGCTTACAAACTGTCGACCGTTATCACTTATCAAGTGAACGGGAACCCCAGACCGAGAGATGACATTCCGCCGTAAGAACCTGGCGCATTGCTGAGAAGTGATTGTGGCCAAGGGCTCGGCCTCGATCCATTTAGAGAAATAATCAATTGCCACAATAACAAAGTGCCGTCGCCCGGACAGCTGCAGAAAAGGCCCCAAGATATCCACCCCCATCGAGCGAACGGGATGGCGGTCGTGACCGGTTGATAAAAAGTTGCCGGACGACCGGGCATTCGAGCGTACAATTGGCATGTTTCACAACTCTTAGCAAGCTTTTCACAATCTAGCTGAATGGACGGCAAATAGTACCCGATCACCATGATGCGTCGAGCTAGCGACTGACCTCCTTGGTGCGACGAACATATGCCCGAGTGCAACTCGTTCATAACCAGGCCCTCTTCAAAAGAGTTCAAGCATCTCAGCAAAGGACCACCATATGATCGTCTGTATAACTGCCCATCTTGTACTTGGAATCTCGGCGCCCTCAATTTCGCCTTCCGAGCTCGTTGCGGATCGTCCGGTAAACGGTCATGTTGTAGGTATTCCATCGAGTCGGAGATCCATGTTTCCTCAGCCGATTGAATAAGGGCGACCGACAAACGGTGAATGCTATGTCTCGGAATCATCAAAATCCGAGCAATCTTAGACATATGCTCAGGTGCGTCTTGTGCTAGCTTCGATAGGATATCTGCATTAGCATTATCCAATCGGGGAACATGACGAACGGTATATGCCCGGAATAAGTTCAATTTCTCCATTGCCAAATCGCGATAAGCTTGTAACCTTTCCTCATTAACCTCATAATCGCCAAGGACTTGCCTAACCACCAACGCTAAGTCAGTCTGTGCCCGGATGTAGCCCCCAAATCCCGAGCGCATTGTAAGCCATTGACAAACGCCTCATACTCTGCTTCATTATTGGTCGGGGTAAACTGATACACCAAAGCATAATAGACTTTAAATCCCTCCGGGCTCGTGATCACGACTCCACTGCCCGCTCCCTTTTTACTACTCGACCCATCAGTGGCCAAGGACCACCATGCCGCCTCGGGATCTTCTGCGACTGGAGGTTGAGTATCCCGAGCGGTACACTCAACCAAAAAATTGGCCAAAGCCTGGCCTTTGATAGCCGGTCGCGGTCGGTAATCTATTGCATATTGCGTCAACATTAACGCCCATTTGACGAGGCATCCAGAAGAAGAAGCAGTGCGGAGGACTGCTCCAATCGGCTGGTCGGTTAAAACATGGATGATTCGTCCTTGGAAATAAGGAGCCAATTTTTTCGCCGTTGTGTACAAGGCATAGACTATCTTCTCCAGCCGGGAGTAGCGAAGTTCCGGACCATGGAGCGCATGGCTCACATAGTAAACCGGTCGCTGGACTCCTTCCGGATCCGTTCGGCACAACACGATACTTATTGCTCGATCGGATACAGCCAGATAAACATCAAGATCTTCCCCTAGCTCGGGTTTGGACAGCACGATCGGAGACATCAAATACTCCTTCAACTCATCAAAAGCCGATTGGCACTCATCGTCCCACACAAACCCATTGACTTTGCGTAGCACTTTGAAGAAAGGTAAAGCTCGCTCTGCCAACTTCGAGAGGAACCTGCTCAAGGCTGCCAATCTCCCAGTCAATTGTTGCACCTCCCGAACGGTTGTGGGTGGTTGCATATCGAGAATTGCTTTAACTTTGGCGGGATTTGGTTCAATCCCTCTCTTCGTCATCATATAACCCTTTTCCCGGTCTGTACAGCGAATGTGCACTTGGTCGGGTTCAAACGTAGCTGGTACGTTCTCATGATCTAGAAGCACTGTCGAAGATCCCGAGTATGGTCCGCTTGGTCCCGACTCTTCACCAACATGTCATCAATATAAGCTTCCATCGTCTAGCCTAGCAGGTCCTCAAAGAGCATGTTGATTATGCGCTGATATGTCGCCCCTGCATTTCGTTGGCCGAACGGCATAACCCGGTAGCAATATAAACCATCAGGCGTGACAAACGCCATTTTGCTTTCATCTTCATGGCTCATCATGATCTGATGATAACCCTTGAAGGCGTCCATGAAGCTCATTAACTCGGCCCCGATTGTTTCATCGACCATCTGATGAATGCTCGGCAGGGGCTAAGGGTCCAACGGGCACGACTTGTTCAGATCGGTGAAGTCAATGCACATTCTCCAGGATGGGGGCTTAGAAACCAACACTATATTGGCTACCCACTCGGGATAAGTGACCGGGCGAATGTGCGCGATCGCAGCCATCTTCTTCACCTCTTCACGAACAAACTCACGACGATCGGAAGACAAATGTCTGGTCTTCTGTTTGATCGGTTTAGCGGTGGGATCTACAGCCAATCGATGGCAAATAACAGTTCGATCAATCCCGGGCATATCCTCGGCCCCCATGCAAATATATCAGCAAATTCCCGGAGGATTGCTAATACTTCCAGTCGGAGTTCAGGGGTAAGGGCCCGACCGATCTTAACTCTTCGCTCAGGCAGTGTAACACCCCGTGTTACGGCCTTCAATCCCGGATTAATTATTTAATTAATCCCGTTAATAATAATTAAATATGATTTAATTCGGTTAGGTTTCCTTTAATTAATTAATAAGGTCCACCATGAACTGTGGACCCTTGCCTAAATTAGAGTCCTAAGCCTATTAGGAATAAAGAAAGTAAACCCTTTACTATTCAGATTCTAATTAGGAATCCTAGACCTAGTTATCTATTAGGAATAAAGGAAGTAGGCCTTTTACTATTCAGACTACGATTAGGATTCCCTTTAATTAATTAATATGGTCCACTATGGACCATGGACCCTTATCCCTAAAATAAGCCCTTAGTTCTATAAGGAATAGAATTAGTAAACCCATACCATTCAGACCCTAATTAGGAGTCTTAAATATATAAATAGGGATATAGGAGGCACCTAGATCTTTCACCACCATAATCTCTCACCACACAAGAAGTTCCAAGAATTCCCTTAGGAGAAATCAAGAAAGAAGAAGGCTTAAAGAAAGACCCTTCATAGTCAAGGAATTAATTAAGGCTAAGAGGTAACCCATGTCTCAACAAAACCTATTTTCATAGTTATGATTCCCCTCTTAGGATTTCCCCATATTATTGTGTATTGATGATTTGTGATATTATTATTGATGATTGATGGGATGATTTCCATGGGTGATCTTGATGATGAAAGGTTCTGGACAATTATGGTGTTCTTGATGATTATATGACGTCCTTGATAATTATATGGTGTTCTTGATATTCTTAATGATTATATGAGGTTCTTGATCGTTATATGATATTCCTACCGAATCTTGATTTTGGAAGATGAATTGTGTTCTTGTTGATTTAAAAATAATTAGAACCCTAGGTTATATCGTGGAATTCGTATAGTATTATTCTTGGTATATTGGGTGGGACTTCGCATGATTGGGTGTTTATTATGTTTAGAAAAGCATGATAGGTTATGTGCCGTTTGTTTCTTGATTTTGATTCGTTAATTGTCTACGTGTGTTATCAATTGCGTTTGAAAGTGTCTAAGCATGGTTTCGGGTTCCACAAAGGTTCCCGGGTCGTTTTTGATGAAAAAGAGTCAGTGGGGGGTAGGGGACCCGCCACCTACCCGCGGCCAAATCGGGCAACGCCGGCAGCGGGCAGCCGGCGGGCGGGCACCCGTTGCCCGGATTTGTAGAACGCCGGCGGGTGACCCCCACCCACCGGCTACCCGCTAGTTTATACCCCACATCGGGATCCCGGCTTCCCCGTTTGATGTTCCCTCGACCCTCGTGGTGTCCCAACGGACTCCGTCTATCGTGCCTATGTCTAGTTTGATTTTCGGGTACCGTTCGTAGGTCGTATGAGTCTTATATATTGCATGCTAGTTGAATTGGTATCCCGTTGACCTAGGTGAAAGAAGTATGAACCCCTTAGGACTATTCTTAGTATGTGAAGGATCACGCATAGGTTTTGTTATAAGTTTTATCCCCCTTCCCAATGTGTTAATGTGGGTTGCATGTGCTTGCTATATGTTATGTGTGCATGTTACCCCGACTTGGTTGAGATCAATCGGGCTATACGGGCAGTCGGGTGGGCTGAGAACCATACCGGCTGTTAACCAGGCTGGTAGAGACCGGTCAGGTATATAAATATTATATAGGACTAAGATCCACTATACGGGCAGTTGAATGGGTTGAGAACCATCCCAACTGTTAACCAGGCTAGTAGAGACCGGTCAGGTATATAAATATTATATAGGACAAAGGTCCACTATACGAGCAGTTGAATGGGTTGAGAACCATCCCAACTGTTAACCAGGCTGGTAAAGACCGGCCAGGTATATAAATATTATATAGAGCTGCGGCTCATCGGTCGGTTGCGATCGACCCCTCCGTGCTGTGAGACGTGGCAGGGTGCTGCGGGGCCTTGTCAGAGCTATATGCGCTGACCCTCATGTATGGGCATGCGATTGGTCCTGTGGCGCCAACAAAGTGTGCTATGTGATGAAGTATGGATGAGTTGTTGTTATGAGTATCTTGGGGATGAGACTATGGGATTTGTACCGGAGATCGTATATGTTGGGTTATGATTATTAACTGTGCTTATCTTATCTGTCTTGCCTGTTGTAAACTGTATATGCTTGGTATAACTGCTGTCTGTGCTTAGCCCTATCTGTTGAGTCTATCCCTGTTTCAAAAGCTAGAGTTCGTAGGAGATATCTTTATGTTCAAAATGGTTTTCGTATATCTATATATATATATATACATATATATATATATATATATATATATATATATATATATATATGTATATATATATATATATATGTATATATATATATACATGTATATATACATATATATACATATATATATATACATATATATACATATATATATACATATATATATATATATATATGTATATATATATATATATATATATGTATATATATATATATATATACATATATATACATATATATATATATGTATATATATATATATATATATATATATATATATATATATATATATATATATATATATATCTATATGTATTGTATTTCAACGCGTTAGAGTGGGTTACCAAGCATCTCTCGCTGAACAGATATATTTGGCTTTGAGGCACAGAAGAGTAGGTCACTGGAGCGCGCTAGAACTTGGAACGTATAAGTAGATAGCTTCCCTTTCGGCCTGCGTGCCATGTTTATGCGTTACATTATTGAGGATATTAGTTAGTTAGCCTGTGCACCTGAGTTCTCTAGCTCAGGTGTGGCATAGCACCCCGTACTCTTGTATTATGTTTTGGGATTTAATGAGATTTCACCTTTATTTTATAAGTTTTAAATATCTTGAAAATCTGGGGTGTTACAGCTCAGGCTGGTCCTCTGACAAAGGAACCTCCTCTAGCTCTTTAGATGGCTCTGGTTGTTCTTTTCGGTCCTTAACGGCGCGTCCTTGAAGATTGTATTCACCCGGGAAGAACTTGCGTCGCGCCGATTGACCGCTCGAGTATAGCATTTCCTTGCCGACTAAGCATCACCCCGCAGAACTCCAACCCCAGCCGGGGTAGGGAATTTCATACACAAGTGAGGCATAGATATAATTCCCCCGACCTTCATGATGGGCAGGCAGCCTAGGATGACATTGTGGACGCAATGAAGATTCACCACAACAAATTCTATTTGCGTTTTGACAGATTTGGGTGGAGTTCCCAACTCGACCGGGAGGACGATTTTTCCTTCTGGGCGAATGGTATCCCCGGTAAATCCCGACAAGGGTACACCGACCGGAATTAGCTCTTGTCGATCAAGTTTCAATTTCTCGAAAACGTCCAAATAAAGGACATTTGCGCTACTCCCGGTATCCACCATCACCCTCTGTACGTCGACTCCCATGATATCGATCGTAACAACGAGCGCTTCCATCCCGGTATCTCATCTCTCGGGTTGATCTTCAAGGGAAAAGGTGATTGGCTCCATTTTTTTCCTCTTACCGCTCCCCTGGGAGTCGACAATCGCGACCGAGCATGGCTCTCGAGCTTGGGAAGCATCTTCCAAGCCGCCGAAAATAACATGAATAGTCGGTTTCGATGATGGTCGACTGCCAGACGGGGGATCGGGATCTCTCCGGTCCTGATCCGATAGATCAGGGCGATTGGAGCGTCTATGATCTTTCCTCTCAGATGCTCTCTTGTTCTCTTTCCGCTTCCCAACACACTTATCCAATTTTCCTAACTGGAGTAAGTCTTCTAACAATTGTTTCAAATGTGTGACTCTTCCGTGTCATGCCCAGCACATCGATGATAAGCGCAATGTTCCGACTTATCCTTCCCATTCGGTCCAGGATGAGGTAGGCGAATGAGGTTGCAGGACTGGGCATATTGCATGGTTTCCCCGGCTGATCGGTTCAAGGCCGTGAAATCTCCCGGCCGGGCTCTGGGTCGGGGGTGGTCTTCGGCCTATCGGTTATCTGACCGACCGGAGGGCTTCCGGGAAGACCCGACCTATTGGGAACGTTTGACGGCATTTACCTCTCCAGCATTGGCATAATCTGTCACTCTTCGGAGCGCTTCCTCGTAGGTTGCAGGCGGGTGGAGTATAAAATCCTGGTACAAGTAACTGGCTCTGAGGGAAATATGCAACATATGAATGGCTGTCAAGTCGTCCATGGGTTCGACCTCTCCCACCGCCACTTTCCACTTTACTAAGAAATCAGTCAAGCTCTCTCCTTCCAATTGCTTAGCCTTCTCAAGATACATGTAAGGCTTCCAGATGACTTTGGAAGTTACGAACTTCCGAGTGAATTTTGCTGCCAAGCTAGCAAAATCAGAAATGGACCCTGGTTGTAACGTTCTGAACCAGTCGACCGCCGGACCAGAAAGCGTCGAGTAAAATGCCCGGCACATCACAGCGTCAGTTACGCCCATCATCAGCATATTTCCATAATAAGTGTTGATGTGAACCTCCGGGTCTGTACGGCCGTCATATTCTTTGTTTCCAGGGATTCGCAAGTCGAGTGGGTAGGGTTGAGCCATGATCTCCGCCGTGAAGGGTGTCCGCAATAATGAAGCGGTATGATCGGAAGGAGACCTCAAGGCATGCCCGTTCTGCCACCGAGTAAACTCTACACGGAGGTCGTTCAACATTTCTCGGCTCTCGTCTTGCTTGACCGTACGGGCTGGTTCCCGAGCCCGGCGTCATCGATGCGCTTGAGGCCCGCTGTGTCCTGACGACCCTGCCTGACTGGCCGCTCGCATGGGAGAATCAACCAAGCGCCTATCTGGGTCCTGTGGTCCCAATCGTTGCCGCATTGCTGGTCGGAGTCGCTCGAACGCACTCGCTCGATTGGCTTCAAACTCGGCCTCTTCAGCCGCCTGGGCATATGTCTCCTGCCGTGGTTCATCCATGACCTCGGCCCCCTGCGATCCCAACCTCGAGCGAGCCGAGCGCCTAGTCCGGGGACAGGGCTGAAGCTCGGGCTCGGTCGGCATGGTCGGTTGGTTTGGGGGAGCGGAAGCTGGAGCCGTGTACGCAGGCATGTAAGGCGGATAACCGGCCGGTGGATAATACATAGGTGGTACCGGGCCAACAACCATATTGAGGAAGTGGTACTGGATATGGGTAGTTCGTCGGGAATGGATATTGTTGACCGGGCGTTGGATACATCGGTTGAATATAATTGACCGGGTTGGGAGCTTCCGATCGAGGAGGTGAAAGATTCAAATTCAGGTCAATTGTCTGACCCTGATGCTGTGTATAGTTGTAACACCCCGAAATTTCAAAAAACTTTTAAAGACTATGTAACAAAGGTAAATGATCATAGATCCCAAAATGCTTATAAGAATACGGAGTGTTATGCCACACCCGAGCTAGAGAACTCGGGTGCACATGCTAAATTCTAAAACCTCAATCAGTATCAATACAAAATCATGGCACGCAGGCCGAAAGGGAAAACTATCTAGTCTACGCCCCAAGCTTCTAGCGCGCTCCAGTGATCTACTCGTCTGTGCCTGAAAGCCAAATATATCTGTTCAGCGAGAGATGCTGGTAACCCACTCCAACGCGTTGAAATACAATACATATAGATATATACATAGATATACGAAAAACCATATCGAGGCATGAAGATGTATCCTAAGAGACTCTAGCTTTCAAAACAGGGAATAGACTCGACAGATGGGATACGCACAGTCAACAGTGATACCAAGCATATACAGTTTTCCAGCATAGAGAACATGCACTATAGATAGAGACAAGAACATAACCAAGCATATACAGTTGCTAACATAAATCCTATACTCATGTTCTCAACACACACATAACAACACCTTATCCATATCTCATCACATAAGCACACTTTGTTGGCGCCACAGGACCAATCGCATGCCCATACATGAGGGTCAGCGCATATAGCTCTGACACGGCCCCGCAGCACCCTGCCCCGTATCGCAACACGGAGGGGTCGATCGCAACCGACCGATGAACCGCAACTCATCATAGTTTTATCGCAACCAAACAGTGGACCGCAGCCCAAGAGTATGTCATCTGACCGCAGCCAGGAAATATGAACCGCAGCTCATGTAGAAACGTTTGAACGCAACCAAACGGTGGACCGCAGCCTTATATAATATTTATATACCGGACCGATCGCAACCGGCCTGGTTAACAGTCAGTATGGTTCTCAACCCATCCAACTGCCCGTATAACCAATTTGATCGCAACCAAATTGGGGTATCATGCACACATAACACATAGCAAGCACATGCAACCCACATTAACACATTGGGATGGGGGAGAAAACGTATAACAAACCCTATGCGTGATCCTTCAAATACTAAGAATAATCCTAAGGGGTTCATACTTCTTTCACCTAGGTCAACGGGATACCAATTCGACTAGCATGCAATATATAAGACTCATACAACCTACGAACGGTACCCGAAATATCAAACTAGACATAGGCACGATAGACGGAGTCCGTTGGGAGACCACGGGGGTCGGGGGAACATCAAACGGGGAAGCCAAAATCCCAAATTGGGTATTTTTCCAGCGGGTAGCCGGTGAGTGAGGGCTCACCCGCCGGCGACGATGATTCCGGGCAGCGAGTGCCCGGCGGGCAGCTGCCCGCTGCCGGCGACGCCAACAATGGCCGCGGGTAGGTGGCGGGTCCCCTACCCCCACCTACCCCCCACTGACTCTTTTATCACAAAAACGTCCCGGGAACCTTTGTGGAACCCGAAACCATGCTCAGACACTTTTAAACGCAATTGACAACAACACATGGACAATTTACGGATCCAAACGCAAGAAACATACGGCACATAACCTATCATGCTTTTCTAGACATAATCAACACCCAAACATGCGAATTCCCACGCAATATACCAAGAATAATACAATACGAATTCCACGATATAACCTAGGGTTCTAATTATTTTTAAATCAACAAGAACACAATTCATCTTCTAAAATCAAGATTCGGTAGGAATATCATATAAACATCAAGAACATCATATAATCATCAAGAACATCAAGAACACCATATAATCATCAAGAACCTCTTATCATCAAGATCACCCATGGAATCATAACACCAATTATCAAGATTATAACGAACCATCAATACACAAGAATATGGGGGAAATCCTAAGAGGGGAATCATAGCTATGAAAATAGGTTTTGTTGAGACATGGGTTACCTCTTAGACTTAATTAATTCCTTAGCTATGAAGGGTCTTTCTTTAATCTTTCTTCTTTCTTGATTTCTCCTAGGGGAATTCTTGGAATTCTTGGTGTGGTGAGAGATTATTGTGGTGGGGGTTCTAGGTGCCTTCTAAGTTCCCTATTTATATATCTAAGAGTCTTACTTAGGGTCTAATCCTTCTAGGGCTAGGGGTTGGGTTTAGAGATGAGGGCCCATGGACTATGGTGGGTCTTTTCCTAGTTAATTATTGTAATTTAATTCTTTCTTTTGGGCAATTGGTTAAATGATTAATCGGTTTTAGGGGTCGTAACACGGGGTGTTACACTCTCCCCCCCTTACAAGGGGCTTCGTCCCCGAAGCCCGATGTGTTAATCTATTCTTTCACCCCTAGACATCCTGCACCTTGGCCTCCTGGTTAGGAATGTGGCCCCGCGTTTTTTCCTTAGCTGGGGTAGACTGGACTTCTGGTGTGTTGTGGTAGGAAGGTTTTGGGTCTACCTCGGTGTCCTTCTCCTGAGCTGGATGCCCCGCGAGTGCCCAAGGTGGCCTCGATTGCTGCCACCCTCTGATCTAGTGCGATGTGTCGTACGGATTAATGATGAGAACCCTTCCTCCATGATTTGGTTTTGCCGGTTGAGCTGTGCGAGTATGCGTTCATTGATTGAGCCCTCGTTTTGCTCCCTTGGGTTCCCTCCTGATCGTGGGTGCAACGATGGGTTAGGCTCATCATCCTCCTCCTGGTCCTCATTTCCCTCCAGACCCCCACAATCTTGCATTGCTCGTTTGAGCCTTTTGTTGGAGATGTCCAACCGGTCGACCAATTCTCTTCGCTCTTCCTCGGGTTTGAGGCAAATTTCTTCGAGGGTGAGGTAGTGTCCCCCTTCAGTGTCGTAGATATCATTGCGGCGGAGGTTCTGGGCGTTAAAGATCATGCCATTCGAGGTCTTAACCTCGGTGTGGCTTAGGTCCACCCCCTTCTTTTCCATGATCCAACTTAGGATCATCCCGTAGGGTAGGCTAAGTCGGTTGCTTGTTTTGCAAAACTCTATGTGTTTTAGCATGAGGGCCGGTAGGTTGAACTTGATTTTGTGTTTCAAGAGATAGGCAAGGGTGCACTCTAAACTCCCCATGTCTTTGTTTTTATTGTTCATGGGCAAGAGGCTATCGGTTACAATCATAACCAATATCTTTTGTTCCGCCGATAGCCACTTTCTATTCGGTCGTGTGGCCGAGGTGAATCCTTCCTCTTTCCCGAGTAGGTACCCGAGGTAGTCTTTGTACCCCGTGTTTTGGGTATCAATCCACCCCTTTCGGTCATAGTTTGACACACCCGTGGTGGTCAATTTCAAAAGCTTGGTCAAACGACCTTCGGAGAGTATAATTTCCTTGCCACGGACCTTGGTGGTGATTTCTAGCTTATCACCCCGTTTGGTGGCTACAAGATGTTGATAGAATTCTTTCACCAATTTGGGGTACGTATCCCCCTTGATGGTGAGGTATGTATCCAAAAGCCCTTGGTGTTTAAGCATATCAACCAATTCCGGAGAAAATTGGTCGGGTTCAAGGGCTTTACCTCCGATTACGGTGTAATCGGCGTTGCTCCATTCCGGGGTACGGGTCCCGAGGGGTTTCTTTGGCATTGTGATGCTTCGCTCGATGGTGACGGGGCTCCGGTGCGTTTTTCCGGCGGTGCGGCTCTGTTGCTAGGGAGGCGGCGGCGACTGGGCTCCGGTATCGGCTTGGCGAGGTGGGGTAGTGGTTTTCGGTGGCGTCGGGCAGTGGTGGCAGCAGGTGGAGTTCGGGCAGGTGGCGGGCGGCGCTGGCGTTGCGGGCGTCCTCCGGCGGCGAGGGCGGCGTCCGGCGGGTCGCGGTCTGGGCGGCTGGCGACGTCCCGGCTGTTGACGGCGGAGGTCTGTGGGTTCCGGCGTGGGGGCGGTGTGATGGGTAGGTAGGGTGAGGAAAAGGGAGTGTGGAAGAAGAAAAGGAAGGATAAGGGTTTTTGATTTGGGGATTTTGTGGGTTTTAGGAATTTGTGGGGGTTTAAGAAGGGAGTGTTCCCTTGAGGTTTTAAGAAACACTCTTAGCCTAGTGGTTAAGACCTTGGTTTTGCATGTGGGAGGTCAAGGGTTCAATTCCTATTGGTAACACTAGGTTTTTCTATGATGGGGCCCTTGTCTTTTTCCTTCTTTTGTCTTCTAGTGGTGAGGGCTTGGCTAGTTGGTACAGTTTTAGTTCTACCCTCGTAAGTAGGACCGAATTTCGAACTAATCTTTTATTTATAATATTTCTAAAGTAATTAAGCTAAGTAAGTAATTCTACTACGGAGGTGATTACAAGGAAATTGCTGAACTATCCTAGACAGAACTCGTCTTCTTGATTTTCTTCTGCGGGGTTTGTATGGTCCTCGTCTTCTAAGGTTAGGTTCCCTTCCTCGTGGTTGTTC